TTTTTTTTTTTTTTTTTTTTTTTTTTTTTTTAAGAAATTATTGCTATAGCCAATTATCTACAGCCAATCTATTTTGTCTAAATTATTAAAAAATAAAGTCAATCAAATTAATTTAGGCATCACAACATTATAATGTAAATTTATGAAATAACCAACAGGACAATCAAACAGCTTAACACAGCGGTCACCTTAGTCAAAAGCGATTAAAATGCCTAAACCCTATCCATTCAGTGGACTCACAGTTGTGAAGTTCTCCGGCCCGCACTCTTTTCCACGATACTTGCAGTCCAGCAGCATTTCGTCAATGCTGTGGCTGGTCCTCTGCACAAACTCCAGCATGTTGAAGGTCTTGCTGGGGAAGAACTTGCTGTTGTCCGGCGGCTGTCCCAGGGCGGCCATGAAGTCATCGAAGTCGCTTTGCTCTACACCGAGCAACCCTGCCATCCAGAAGAGATCATTGCGGATCATTTTGGAGCGTCTGAAGCTGTTGTAGTTGCACATAGTGATGGCCGGAAAGTACATGACGGGACTGTCCATTTCGTCCAGGATGGTGACGTGAGGATAGCTGAGGTAGTCCATTATGGCTCCGGCCACCTGGTAGAGGAAGATGGACAGTGAGGAGAGGAACGCTGCTGCCCAGAGCAGACGTCTGATGGTCACTCCTCCGGGCAGGAAGATGTGGCTCAGGCCATGGAGGGTGCAGTTGGCGCCGAAGACAGTGATGTCTGATGGCCGGGGTTGCTCTTCCTCTTCGGAGGAACCCATTGTGTTACTGTGGACTGAACGGTGAGCTAGCGATCTAAATCTAACCTCTGCGAAGTCTGGATTGTTCGGAAGTGAGGGTGGTGCGGTCTAAACCGGTGCTAGGTCATAACACCCCCATCCATGTGGGGAGGTTTGGAAACATGAGATGGCCATTTTGATGCTGACAGCGCTTTCCGTTTTGTGCATTCTTGGAGGGCAAAGAGAGCCAAAGATTGGGTTTCGTGGGGATGAAACTTAGTCCCTTAATAGATAAAGGATGAGGAGAAGCCCATGAGAAACCATAGAAATGAATCAATAATGAAGTAGTCAAAAAATCCAATAGTAAGCAGAGAGGAATATCAGGCAATTGGTCTATAGGTAATTACCTAGAGTATTAAACTTCGTCTCGCACCATTTGTGCTACAGACATGCATGATACTTCAAATCGAGCAGCTCGTGTGCTATTACTTCTCAGAAGTGATTGCACATTTTTACCTAGTGGATGGGAAAACATTCCCACTGAAGCAAGGGCCGAGACCAGGGATATCATTGAGACTTTGGGGTGTAAAATAGTGATGGTGAGATGACACTAGTGACACACACACACACACACACACACACACACACACACACACATACATACATACAAAAACGCACACATACACACACACACACACACACACACTATTATAGTCTGAGATAACAGTCTGAAAATGTATTACTTTCTTTAAAAAAATAAAATTAATTTTTTTTATGTTTTATTAGCTGCATTAATGCAATAAAGCTGCATTTATGTGCTAAAAAATACAGTAAAAAATAGTAATATTTTAGAATATTATAACACTTTAAAAATCACTGTTTTCTATTTAAATATATTTTAAAATGTAATTTTCTTCTGCAAAGCTGAATTTTCAGCATCATTACTCCAGTCTTCAGTGTCACATGATCCTTCAGAAATTATTCTAGTATTCTGAGTTGCTGCTCAAGAAACATTTATTATTATTATCAATGTTAAAAACCATTGTTCTGGAAACCCTGATAATTCACCCCCCCCCCCCCCCCCTTCATTTTCTTTATCAAAAGAATA